CATTGTATCTGACAAATGCAGAAAACCCGTCACCACAATTAAAAATATCCAAATCAGACTGAGAGTTCCATATATGTATGCCACCTACACATGGAAATTTCCCTGCGTACTCTCACTCTGGAATGACGCACCCTGTTTACCTAATTCCGGACATTATCAGGCATAGGCTGGAGAGAGGCAAGGCTTCAGGACCCCAGAGTATAGATTGGGGTACTGCTGCAGTTCACCTAGCTAAAACCACATAGCTTGAGAATCCTGTCTGGCAAACTTATCACTGCTCGTGCAGCTAGGACCACTCTACCCATTAGGGCTTTGGCTCACAGGATTAACAGTAGGAAGAATTCCTGTCCTTACTGTAGCTGCAGAAATTGCTCCAATATTTACATATCTCTTTGTGAATATTGCAACTTAAACCCCACTGCATGACTCAGTGGAAAATTTTTCTTAAAGTCATCCTGAAAGTAAAGTACTTTTTGAGGGGTGTGCTCTTGAGAGATTTTGTTGTAGGCTATGGTAAATAGACCAAACATATTGCTCCTGCTCTTTTATCTAAAAATCAGAAACTCAATAATGTCTTATCTTAATAGCTCTTGATATGTACACAAACCTTATTTTACAGTGCATATGAATTACTGAATTTAAGGTTTTTATTTGACATCAATAACTGAGGAATCAAAGGCGATACTGTTCTTTTGCTTCAATCTACCATGCTGTCTGGCAAGGCTTCTTGTGTTTATCAGATGTCAGAGTAGGTACATGGTAACAGAGCGATTCAGTGTTTATTCTGGTTTACTTTTAATATCTCCGCAGTGTGGTAAATAATCAACTGACACAATTAGAGCAGACACAATCCTTCCATTGTGCGGGCTTCAACTTTGAAAGTGCGACGGGCACATGAAAGGGCCTCATGTGCGCTGTGAGTGCAAGCGCTCAGTAACAGCCGGGGTTTAAAGGGACATTTCTGGGATGGTGCCCCAGCAATAGATACTCTAGGGCTGTCAGTGTCCGTAAGCTGTACCCCAACACGTGGTGTTAATGTACTGTACCTCAGCAGAAGGTACTGCAGGATGTCCAGTGTCTATGACAACCCAGTCGGAGTCAGCTTCTCAGAAGTGAAAGGGAATAATATATTTCTCAACAATTAACCACATTTTGTATGTAGAATTTCGAGGTAATCAACAAAAGTGACTTGATTATCTTATACAGTAGTAGTTACAATTGCGGATTCTTCACAATGGGTGATCTAACGTGGCCAGCGTCACTTGCATTGGGAATGAAAAGGAACAAATGAGCTGCAGACATTCCATGTCTATTAAATGTCCTGCATTTGCTGGAGGTTCTGTCCTTCAAGTGAGATATTATTCCAATATCTACCTGTTCGGTGTCCTGGTCAACAATCCCCCAGATTAAAACATAATCCTTGCATTTGATATAGCGCCTTATCACATCTTTGAGATGTCTCAAAGCGCTTCACAGAAGTAAAGTAATTGACTGTATATTTTTGTGGGGTCATGGTTGTTTGTGGGACATTGCTGTGCACAAATTGGCTGTCCTATTTGACTACAAATACATAATTTACAGTAAAATCACGTGAAGCATTTTGATGGTATAACACTATATCAAATGGATTATTATTTTAAGAGAGTTTATGGACTTTAACTTTGCTTTCTGGCAGGGAATTCCACATTGGAACCAACCTCTGTTTAAAGAATGTTTTTCTAACCTCCAGTTTAATTCTTTCATGATTAACTTTAGATTGTGCCCTCTCATTACTGGCTCACCAACCAGTGGAAATAATCTATTACTATTCACCCGATTATAATCATTCATAATCTTGAAGATCTCTATCAGGTCACCTTTTGACCTTCTCAGCTCCAGTGAAAAATAGCTCTAACTTCTCAAGTCTTCTGTGATGCATAAATCTTCTTCATGTCTGGTAGTGTTGATTTCACAACCATTTGTCATTTGTATGTGAAAAATGTAAATTAGCATGAGTTTGTTAAATTGTTTTTTTCAATGTGACAATGTGTTTAGCTCTGCGAAGCAAGCTGGAGTTACCATCACATGCCATGCTCACATTGTGCTGAATGGTACCTTGTGTAATAAAAAAAATTGCATTACATATAACGCCATTCACATCAGGAGGACATATCCTGTAAAGCGCATTGCAGGATTTTACTGTGTATGTTGTTGGCAATTTGAGGTATTTTGTCGTAATACCTGTATTTTGAGTTGCACCATTGTGATTGCAAAAAATAGTGGTTTGGAAACTACACATAATAATATAATAATCTTTGCATTTGATATAGCGCCTTATCACATCGTTGAGACATGATAAGGTTTGCACCCGTTGTGGGTGTGTTACCAGTCCGGGCCTGATGGGGGGGCATCAGCACACTTTCCCATAGGGAGGAGATTCAGTAATCTCTTGCACCTCCCAGTGGCCAGTCCTGGAGCTGCATTGCCAGTGCTCTGGGAGATGGGCTGCATCATGTTCACTTGGTCAGGGCAGGGATATTGTGCAGGGAGATGGAGGAGGGAGGCTTGGAGAAAAAATAAGGTTTCATTTAGAAAATGGAAACAAGATGCAAATTATTCTTTTTAAAAAATTACCATTGTAAATGTATAATAACAGTGACAGGTTTAAACACTGAATAACCAGGGCAATGTGAACCCATTGAATTCGTGGAAGGAGATTTTAGTCGAGAAGGTGTACATTATTAGCAGATTTGTTGTACTTTGCAAGGATGCTGGCAGTTACACTGTACATAGCAGAAGTGCTGAATGGCGAGACAGATATCTATCATTCTTCTATGGAGTGTCTATGCTCCGCTGCTTTTACATGGAATGTGAAAAAACACACATTTAAAAACAGTCAGATAGCAAAGATAATGTGGATGACAAACTGTTTTTGCTACCTAGGTGGATGACTTCACACTTCCCTACGTTATACTTCACCTGCCACCTACCTGTCCAATCACTTAACCTATCTATGCCTCGCTGCATTTTTTAATATCGTCCTCTGTGTTGGCACTTCCTCCTAGTTTTGTGTCATCCACGAATTTAGATATATTTACTTTGATGTCCTCATCTGGATCGTTGATGTAGATGGTAAATAGCTGAGGCCCAAGGACTGATCCTTGTGGCAACTCCACTAGTCACATCCCGCCAATCTGAAAAGGACCCGTTTATCCCTACTCTTTGTTTCCTACCCGTTAACCATTCCCCAATCCACGTTAATATGCTCCCCCCAATTCCATGGGCCCTTAACTTTTGAACTAACCTTTTATGCGGCACCTTATCGAATGCTTTCTGGAAGTCCAAATAGACCACATCGACTGATTCACCCTTATTTAGTTTACTGGAAATATCCTCAAAAAACTCTATGAGATTTGTCAAACATGACTTCCCTTTTGTAAAGCCATGTTGACTTGTCCTAATTATATTGTGCTCCCCTAAATACCGCACTATCACATCCTTAATCAATGATTCTAAAATTTTTACTATCACTGATGTGAGACTAACTGGCCTATAGTTCCCCATCTTTTCCTTTCCACCTTTTTTAAATAGTGGTGTGACATTTGTATCTTCCAATCCATGGGGACTGTTCCAGAATCTAAGGAATTTTGGAAGATCAGACATAAGGCCTCCACTATCTCATAAGCAACCTCTTTTAAAACCCTGGGATGCAAGCCATCCGGACGAGGGGATTTGTCACTTTTTTGTTGCTAACAGTTTCCCTAGCACCAATTCTCTACTAATGAAAATTTCCCTAAGTTGCTCCCTGTCCTTATCCCTTTGATGCATCTCTATTGTTGGCAGACTTGTTGTGTCTTCTAAGGTGAAGACAGATGCAAAGTACCCATTTAGGGACTCTGCCATATCCTTATCCCCCATTACAACTTCTCCCGTCTCTGACTGAAGTGGACCTACATTTACCCTCACTAGCCTATTCCTCTTAATATATTTGTAAAATCTTTTACAATCAGACTTAATGTTCTACAATCCACCATTCCAGCCAAGGGACATTCCCATGCGTGGGTGGCACACGTAAATATTTGGAACTCTCAGTCTGGTTTGCATAATATTAAGATGGCAATGACCGTCCCAAGCTGCTGCCCAGTCCTCTTCGACCGCGCATTCAGCTGCCCTCCTACCCCTACCCTCCCCGCTCAGGTCCAAATCCCTGACTGTCCAGAGCCATGGGATGTTCCTCCCAACATGAAAGGCACTATACAAATGTAATCTTGTTGTTGTTTTGGGAGGGCCTCCTGATGTGAAAGGCGCTTCACAAATGTAATTTGTTGTTGTCGGTTGTTGTAAAACCCTCAGATCCAGAGGTCGATGTGGAACCAACAAATGTCAGAATAACTTAACATCTGATGTTGATCCAACCTGCTGTGGGTTTTGAACAACTGCAGCACATTCTCGCTGCTGAGAGAGACCCAACTAGAGATTGGAAACCAACCAACGTTTGCTTAAACGTTACCCGTTTAAAACCAAAAACGAAACTTGAAAAGTGAGCAAAAGGCTCTTCACTCACATGACTAGTCTGGTTTTTTTAAAATATATTTTAGTTGGATTTAATGTGACTTTTGTTTGATTCGATGTGGACTGAAAAGAATAGAAAAGATTTAGCATTTTGCGTGCGTTTTGCAGCCTCTTTTTTTTACCGGCAGAGAAACTGAGCAGCGGGTAGGGGATCCCGGCGCAGTGAGAGAGCAACATGTCTGTAAACACAGAAACTATCTGAGACAATACACTGAGCTGGAGATACACACACACACAGAGACACAGCCCAACCCGGAACCTAACATCAGGGGCACTTTGCGCTGCGCTCAGCCACTCATGGCTCAAACCAGCTATTGCTGTGGGAGAGGTTAGAGCTTAGAGACCAATCGTTTGGGTGGGACGTGTGCTGCACTTTGCACTGTAGACGCTCTCTGTTACACAATCTATGAACTTTCCAAAGGGAGTAAAATTACCAACTCTTCCCATAGGGTTAGGCACCACAGCTCTGAAGGTCATGCTGTCCCCACCCCTTTGTTTTCAAAATTAAAACCCACCTTAAAATTGGGGGCTTTGAACTCAACACTCAGTTTATCTTGGCTCATTTAAGACACCAAACCAGACTGCTGCTGTGTGGGACCAGTGAGGATAGTCAAAAACTTCTTTCAAACCCACAGGAACAAATCATGATGGAGCTCCTCTACAATGTAGATCATTGGATCGAAAACAACAAGAAGAATTTCAATCCTCCTGTCTGCAACAAACTTATGTAAGTTGCCTCTTTCCCCACCTCAATCTTCCAAACAGTTTGAGGTTCTTTTCTGCTGAATGGAGATAAACCGGAGTCCAAGCAGTGTGTGTGTAATATTGCTTGGAATATCTAAGGTGCTTATCTTGTTTTGTGAAATCGATTAACTGATTTTTTATTTATTTTCCAACCAAAACATGTGCAGCTCTCAGCCCAACGCACTTGCCAGGATTCCAAAATCTGGTTCAATACCAAATCAATTTGGCTATTAAGTTGATCCGTGAGAAACTATTGTAGGTTCACATCACTATTAGTGTTATCCCTCCCCAAAAAATAATAATTTGGTCACTCAATCCATGACTGTTTGTGGGACATTGCTGTGCGCCACATTAGGCTGCCACATTTCGCCCACAAAATACAGTCTTTACATACATTCTTTATAGCATATTCTGTGAAACGCTTTTAGACATCTTGATGATGTGATAAGGTGCTATATCAAATGCAAGGATTATTATCCTTTTTCTGAAATAAAATAGCAATTCTACAGCATTAAAGTAAAACAGAAGATGGGGTCAACTCCCTTCTCTTTTTGAATAGTGCCGTGATCTTTAACATCCACCTGAACAGGAAGATGGGAACAGGCAGATGGGACCTCGGTTTAACATCTCATCTGAAGGACGGGATTTCCGACAATGCAACACACCCCAAGCACTGCATTGGAGTGTCAGCTTAGAATATTTTATTCCAAGTCCTGACGTGAGACTTGAGCCCACAATCTTCTGATTCAGAGTGCTATCACTGCACCTGGCATAAAAGGAACAATTATAGATCAGATGTCATATTTTCCTGGCTCACATTACACATTGCTGCATTTACTGATTGAGGCATCAGAGATTCTCTAGGCTGTTTAATTGGTCTCTGTAGAGAGACACTGAGCTGGCTTTGTGCTGGTGATAAACATGCATAAAATAAATCCTGAAACAACTATTGTTTTGTTTAATGCAGATGTCATCTAGGAATTTATTGCAACTATAAGAGGGGAGGCAGGGAAGACGTTAAAATCCTAAGAGATTCAAATAGGGTTGAAAAAGAGAATGAACAGGAGATAGAAACATATTGAATGACTACTTCCTAGAAGTTTTTTTTAACAGGGAGGACACTTAAAAACATAAGAACATAAGAACATAAGAATTAGGAGCAGGAGTAGGCCATTCGGCCCTTCGTGCCTGCTCCGCCATTCAATAAGATCATGGCTGATCTTCTCACCTAACTCTGATTACCTGCCCTATCCCCATATCCTCTAATCCCTCTATTTTTCAAGAATCTATCAGTCTCAGCCTTGAAAGTGTTCAAGGACTGAGCATCTACAGCCTTCTGGGGTAGTGAATTCCATAAGTTTACTACCCTCTGAGTGAAGAAATGTTTCCTCAACTCTGTTCTAAGAGGCTGACCCTTAATTTTAAAACTGTGACCCCTGGTTATAGATTCTCCTACCAGGGGAAACAGTGCCTCTGTGTCTACTTTATCAGCCCTTTAAGAATCTTATAAGTTTCAATAAGATTCCCCTAATTCTTCTGTACACTAGAGAATACAGCCCTAGTTTATTCAGCCTATCCTCATAGGTCAGTCCCCTCATCCCAGGAACTAACCGAGTGAATCTACGCTGCACCCCCTCTAGGGCAAGTATGTCCTTTTTTAAATAAGGAGACCAAAACTGCACACAATACTCTAGGTGCGGTCTCACCAAACCCTATACAGTTGCAGCATCTAAACCTTTTGAAATGAACGCTAACATGCCGTTCGCCTTCTTAGTTGCTTGCTGCACCTGCAAACTAACTTTTTGGGACTGGTGTACAAGGACACCCAAATCCCTTTGAATACTAACACTATCTAACTTCTCCCCTTCCAGAAAATAATCTGTTCTTTTATTCTTGCTACCTAGGTGAATAATTTCACACTTGCTAACATTGAATTCCATCTGCCACCTACTTGCCCACTCCCCGAGCCTATCTATATCTTGTTGCAATCTTTTTGCATCATCCTGAGAGCTCACTCTGCTACCTAGTTTAGTATTATCCGCGAATTTAGACACATTACATTCAATGTCCTCGTCCAGATCATTGATGTAAATGGTAAATAGCTGAGGCCCAAGCACTGATCCTTGTGACACTCCACTAGCTACATCCTGCCAATTCGAGAATGATCCGTTTATCACTACTCTCTGCTTTCTACCCGATAGCCACTCTTCTATCCATGTTAATATTTTCCCATTAATCCCGTGGGCCTTGATCTTGAGTAACAGTCTTTTGTGTGGCACCTTGTCAAATGCCTTCCTAAAATCCAAATATACCACATCTACTGGTTCCCCCTTATCCAACCTGCTGGATATATCCTCAAAAAATTCTAAAAGGTTAGTCAAGCATGACTTCCCTTTTGTAAAGCCATGTTGACTCTGCCTAATCTTTTTATGGTCTTCCAGGTATCCCATAACTACGTCTTTTATTAAGGACTCAAGAATTTTTCCTACAACTGACATCAAACTAACTAGTCTATAGTTTTCCCTATTTTCTCTCCCACCCTTCTTAAATAGTGGAGTTACGTTTGCAATCTTCCAATCAATGGGAACTTTTCCAGTATCCACAGACTTTTGGAAGATTATAGAAGATTATATACTTAACAGCATGCCTCGCAAAATCCAGCAAACGTTATCTGAACTGCAGTATTGGGGCCTTAGATTTAATAAAGACCTGCAAGACTAGCACAAGAAATAAAGTCTGTGTGTGGGAAGGGAGTGTTGTTGAGTCTTGTAGTGCTAACTCACTTTAGTTAATTGAATGAATTATTAACCATTAATTTAACATCAGACTGCATTACAATTCTGACTCATACCTTCAAAGCTGTGAAGTATTAACTAATGACTTAGTCTGTCCTCATGCTGTTTTTCAGGCATGCCAAACAGTTAAAGGTTATGTTTGTTGGGGGACCAAACATTAGGAAGGATTATCATATCGAAGAAGGAGAGGAGGTAACGTACAACTGAGACGCCGTCCAGTGTAGAGGGCGGTTTATAAATCCAAGTAGTTGTTGTTCATGGATTCATTCGTGCATACAGGGTTGACAGTTGCAGGCAATCAGTGTCTTAATAATCAACTGATTCACAGTGTGTCTTTCCCCCATTCTCCCAACTCCCACACAGTGCTTGGGTTCGAAGTTAACCACACTGAGCGTGGGCTGCTGCCTTTTATTTATTAAGTTTGTTTTATTAAGTAAATCATGACTTGTGTTAATCTGGCTCATTTGGTGGCATTCTTGTTCTGAATCAGTAGCTTGTGGGTTCAAGCCCACTCCAGGACGTTGAACTCACATTCTATGCTGACTTCTCAATACAGTGCTGGGAATGTGCTGCGTTATGGGAGGTGAGACGTTAAACTGAGGTTCCGTCTGTCTGTTCAGTTGGATGGCAAAAGTCCCTTGACACTTCTCGAAAAGAGAATGGAATTTCTCCCAGTGGCTAGCCAGCAAAATCCCCAAAATAAATTTAAAAATAGGTCATTCACTTCATGGCTGTTTGTGGGATATTGTTGTGCAAATGTTGGCTGCTGTGTTTGCACACAAAATACACAGACATAGCACTTTACCATAAATCCTGTGAAGCGCTTTGAGACAACCTCCTGACATGAATATCAAATTCAAGGATTATTATATTTATATTATTATGGCTGACTGACTGTTTGATGAGGCTGGAAAACTAGTTAGGTTTCTATAGATTTAAAACAAGCCAGCTGCAGATTACTGAGGTAAGTTAACTACAGAGTATTAAGCAATTTGAAAGAACCATTTTTTTAGACAAACATCTAAATTATTTTGGAATGTGGAGTTCAAAGTCTGGGAAATGCATGTTAATGCTTTGTGGAGTATTTTGTGTCAGCAGATCAGTGCAGATAAACTAACTATTGTGCCTGCTACCTGGGTGATAATAATAATAATCCTTGCATTTGATATAGCGCTTTTCAATGTCAGGAGGACATCCCAAAGCGCTTCACAGAACACACTGTAAAGTGAATTGACTGTATATTTGTGGGCGAAAGCGGCAGCCAATTGCGCACAGCAATGTCCCACAAACAGTCGTAGATTGAAAATGACCAATTTATTATTGTTTTTGGTTTTGGAGGGATTATTATTAGGCGTGTGGAGTAAGGAAACTTGCCCAAGGTTTCGCCCTGACCTGCCTGGAATTGAACTCAGGTCTCTCACTTGCAAAGCGAGTGCTCTAACCACTGAGCTACAGGACTCCACTTTGCCAAAAGCCTCTGCCTGAAAGTGAGCATTGTGGGCATTGAGTGAGGACTGGATCAGGCTTGGTTGCAATTCCCCCCACCACCCCCAATGCTTGATCAGCCTGTCAACACTCACTGGCGAGGCTCTCATGGCCACTTGAGTGAGGAACCAGAGGACAACTGTCAGCCCAGATTGTAAATTTAAGAATGAGAGAGAGACAGACATATACACACACATACTCACTAACAATTAGAAAGGATAAAACGCATACAATTGTAGAAACACACAGACCCATTATCCGCCATGTTTTCATATCCACAATGGTCTCAATCCTGTCCCAATTAGTGTGAACATTTCTCTTTGTCATAAATACAGTGTTATTTCTCTTCTCAAAAAACAAGGCTGTGAAAATTGCGCACTCTTCTGATCACTTTATCAACATCTTTTATTTAACTTGTTTTCCAGTTGTTTTACCAGCTACGAGGTAACATGTGTCTGAAGATCATAGAGAAAGGAATACACAAGGATGTGCACATTCGAGAGGGAGAGGTGAGTGCAGTGTTAACAAGTGGCACACTATCACCACTGATGAATCCTACCAATTCTGCTTGGATTTTTCTTTTGATGTCAAGAAGCCAGATTGTGATAAAGGAGGCTCTTGTTGTCTAGTCGGAGATCAACATCAATCGACATCTGAGAGGAATTTTAATGCTTATGCCTCTGACATGTTCGTATACCTTCAGGAGTCACTAGTTACAAAACCCACTGGCGGCTCACATGTGGGTCTCTATTTTTGGCTTTTCAAAAATGATTTTGAGCCAGTGATATCTGTCTTGCTTCCATTGGAAGCTGTTCAGGGCAGAGGCCGGGCTTTTCCTACAGAAAAGAAAAAGAGGGAGATGGCTATGGGTTCAAGACCCACATCAGGACTTTGAACTTGAAGTCTGGGCTGATGCTTCAATGCAGTGCTGGGGTGCACTGTGTTTTGGAGGTACCGACTTTCAGATGACCCATTAAACTAGGATTCCAACTGCCTGTTCAGGTGGATGTTAAAGAACCCATGTCACTGTACAAAAGGGGAAGGGACTTTCTCCCAGTGTCTTGGCCAACATTCACTTCATAGCTATTTGTGGGACATTGCTATGCGCGAATTGGCTGCAGCTTCCCTTACAAAATACTCAGTCCCCACACTTTACAGTAAATCCTGTGAAGCGGTTTGAGGGCTCTTCCTGATGTGAAAGGTATTCTATGGGTGCACAGATTATTGTTATCATTACCATTATTCATATTAGATTGCTCAAAAATACAAGCACTGGCAATGTGTTCTTACTTTCCAGATGTTTTTGCTGCCTGCTCGGATACCACATTCCCCTCAGCGAAAGGCAGACACTGTAGGGCTGGTGATCGAGAGAGAGAGGCTAACGACAGAAACTGATGGGCTCAGGTAACTGGCATTGCACAAGTGGTTAAAATATGTGGAACCTCTGTAAAAAGAAAACAGGCTTAAAGAATCAACAGTGCGATATTAACAAACCCGATTTGGTGCGTTATCTGAGATTTTCAGTGTGCTCGTTTGTGAAATCTATGGTAAACCCTGCATCAAGTGAAACGTGAATTCCAAGCTGTAAACATTCAAAGCAATATGATGAGCAAACCTCTAGCCATGTTAAGTGCTTTTGAGGTATAGAATTAATCTAAGTGCAAGTTGTCTTGTCTCCTTCTTCCTGGTAATTCTTTAGAGATAGAACCATAGAAAGGTACAACAACAACAAATTACATTTGCATAGCGCCTTTCAAATCGGGAGGACATTCCAAAGCAGTAGACAGTCAAGGATTTGCACCCGAGTTAGGGGTTGCCTTCTTGTCCTACTGGCTTGACATTCACAAATATCTGATTCAAACTTTATTTAACACTGTCTGATGTTACATGTCTCCTTTTACAGGTATTATGTAGAAGACTCCACTGACGTGCTGTATGAGAAATGGTTCTACTGTGAAGACCTGGGTACCCAGCTTGGACCGATAATAAATGAGTATGAATCCAACAACAACAATTTCCATTTATATAGGGCCCTCCACGCTGGGCGGTGTCTCAGAGCGCTTAACAATGGCAGAGCCCAAGGCTGAGCCAGGGGGAGGGGGAAAGTGATTGTAGGTGCGATCGAAGAGGAAGGTCTTCAGGCTCGACCTGAAGATGGGGAAGGAGCGGCGAAAGGGTTGAGGCAAAAGGGTTGAGGAAGAGAGTTCCGGGGCATAGTGGCTGAAGGCACGGCTGCCGTGAAGGCAAATTCTTTATACTTGTACCCAGCAAGTAGTGAGACTGTAGTTATTAGTTATTTTACCACCAACAATACAAATGAAGGTATACTGCTTCTATTAAAAAATGGCGTAAAATTTGCACAAGTCCTAACTGTTGTTAACCACTAGGTGGCAGCACACCCCTCCAGGTAAATGGTTTCTTCCTCTCCAGGACTCAACCTCTCCTATATTTTGATTCAAAGATGGGTTCAGGTGGTTTTGTTTGTAAATGTCAGATCCATTTTCCAACTTTTTTCATATCCCTAATTATTTTTATATCTCAGATGCTTATCCAGTTCTCTTTCTGAATGCTTCCCTTTTTTGAATTGACTGTGCTTTCAGTGATCTTTCGCCTCCCCACCCTCTTCAGCTCCCACCCCTCCACCAGCTCAAGTGCCCAGCCATCAATGTGAAGCACTGTGAGAATTCCTCTTGATGTGCAAGCCGCTACATAAATGTAAATTGCATTGAATTGTGTTGGTCCAGCATCAATCACTACTCGCCGTGATGAATTCTACAACCTAACAAGCCTGCGGGTGAAGGAGTTGTTCCCCCTGATCTTTCTGCTATGCCAAGATTATACCCCTCTATCACCATTTTCTCAACTTAAAGGAAATAGTCTTTTGCTATTTACTTTGCCATGTACTTTCGTAAACACTCACAGCTTTCAGGAACAGTGCTTTAGTTTGAGACCCTTCTCAGAGATACAGAGAATTATGAGGTTATGGTTATGTCTTTGAATATGTATATATTATATATTGGGAGACAAAGGGAAGTATGGAGTATCCAGTAACCACGATATGTAACATCCCATTTTATGAATTGGAACAGAGTAGTCACTGTTCTGCGAGGACAATTCTCAATTCTTCCTGAAACATAGCCCCGCAAAGTACTGCAGCAGCAAAGCATTTGGTAAAATATTCTTTCCTTTGTGTTTCAGGTTCTTCAGATCAGAACAATATAAAACTGGAAAACCAAATCCAGGTGCTGCAATATTTAACCTCTCGTATAAAGACATAGGAAATAGACCTAGAATTTAAATCAGTCTTCACCTCACCAACAGTCTGCCATTCTGATTTATAATTCAGTTTTAGTCCTCTGGTTTGGGGTGAACATTTGTACATTATATCAATTGCAGGGATTATTATTATAATACTTTTTGTCAGAAGTGAGTGTTCCCAGGTCGACTGCAGGGTAAAGTTCACCAAATGTAAAATGTCTTTGTGTCCAACATTGAAGTTGTGAACTTCTTTGGCGGTAGGATGAACAAAAATCAACTGTATTTTACACTATATATTTACATCTTTACAGCTTTATTATGTCTCAAATAACTTCACAGGTGTTTTTGTAGGGAAATGAAACAGCTATTTGCACTGACAAGGGCACAAACAGTCATGACGTGAATAATCAATGTACAGTATTGAGAATATTGTTTACCAGGATACTGGAATAAACTTCTTTCTTGTTTTCAGTGGGATCTTTAGTGTCTGCCTGAGCAGGCAGACAGGATTTGATTTTAAGGGCTCATCTGCTAGACCGATAATATCGCAACTAGCACTGTTCTCTGGTATCAGTTTACATAAAAGACTCAAGTCCCAGACATTTTATTTATTTATTTATTTTTTTATTTATTGCTAATCCGGGTGTCAGACGCATGTGGAAACCCATCACCATGCTTCAGAGTATCCAAACCAACCTGAGAGTTCCACGTAATGCACACCACCTACACTTGGAAATTTCCTTGCATCTGGAATGAAGTTTCTGAAGGGATGCACTTTAGCTTAGTTAATTCCAAGAGGTAGCAAGACAGGGATCACAAGAGTGTGTATTGAAGCTGGAGTTTAACCAGCTCAAACCACATAACCTGCCCCTCTGAGCACCTAGTTTCCTGCCTGTTGTCCAGCTAGGACCATTTTGCCTATTAGGGCTGTGATTTGCATGGTTAACAGGAGCTGAGTGGAAAGAATCCCTGCTTCCAGTCCCCCCTAGCAAGTCTTGCTGATGAGTCAGGTTGGTTGGTCGGTCTGTCATCAGCAGTGCCTTGGAGTACTCCAGGCCTGTTTGGTTCAGGACCCACGCAACTGAGCCCACCACAGAGGGTTAATCCTAAAAATCTGATTCCAAGCACATCACTTTGAAGCCAGCTAAACCCCAAGCAGAAACCACTTACCTTCTCCAAAGGAAGAGTCTGAAGGAGGAAAGCGAGGTCTCCTTGAAGCTCAGCTGGTTGCTCAAAATTCTAGATGTGTGTCTTGAATTCACAAACTTGATCTGAGAGTGCCGCCAACTGAACCAAACTGATACCTCTTGTGCTATCTTCAATTTACAGATGAGTTAATGAAAAAAATCCCATTTTGCATCAACACCATCTCTACAGTTATGAAGCCATTTTCATTCCAGGATTGGATCAATCAGCATCGCCAGGAACTTAAAGACACCAAGATCGTGGATGTGTTTGGTGACCAATTTGAAACTAAGGTAAAAGCCAGAGTCGTAAATTGTTAGTCTTTATTCCAGTGAAATATTCGATCTTTGGTGAATGCAAGATCTGTGTCATTTGGAAGCTAAAACAATGACAGATGCCATTGTTTAATTTGATTTGCTTTGGTGTTAGATTGAGAAATGTAAAGAGGCTCTTTGTGTCACTCTGACAGACGGTCGTCTACGGAAGTGGAGAGAGTGAAGAGAAGGCAAATGTGGACACCTGGATATGGCAGCTGGTAGGTGGTGTAAAGCTGTTGTCACTTATCTTGTGACATTTTGCATGCATAAATCTATTCAGTTTTTAATCTCCCCTTACGCTTTTCAATATGGAGTCTAATTTCCTTGTCTTGGTTTGAATCACTGCGGTTTGATTGATTTTACATATGTATAATGCTTGCATTTGATATAATAATGGTATAATAGTTATCCTTGCATTTGATATAGTGCCTTATCGCATCTTTGAGACGTCTCAAACAGCTTCACAGAATATACTGTGAAGTGAATTGACTGTATATTTTGTGGGCGAAACGCACCAGCCAATTGCGCACAGCAGTGTCTGACAAATGGTCGTGGACTGAGTGGCCGATTTATTATTATTATGTTTTTACAGCACAGAAAGAAACCATTTAGCCCACTATGAAAGACTCTCTGTTTAGTCCCACTCTCCTGTCCTTTACTCATACCCACTCGCTTGTATTTTTCTTTTGGAAAGAGTTATCCAATTCTTTACAACTTTTTGTAGATTTTGCTTCAACTTTCATTTTTGTTTGGGCATTTCTATGTTGTAATAACCCTCTGCCTGTGTGAGGAAAACACCTTTTTTGTGATTATCTCAAATTTGTTGCCTTCCAGGTAGCTACCAGCTCACTGACCAGTGGAAATCATTTCTTCCTATTTACCTTATCAATCCCCCTGGTAATTCTGAACAGCTCTATCAGATTTCCTCTCAAATCTCAGATTCAGTGAAAAAATGCTCTGGTTTCTCTAGGCTCTCCTCAGAAGCAAAGCCTGTTATCCCTTGTGGGTTATATAAAAAAGCTGCACAAAAGCAACACATTCTTTCATGAATAGTGATTTTTTAATACAATTTATTGCCACAGAGATAGTGAAACCGAACTCTTCCTACTTTCTATGCATCTGCTGCTCCAGAACTTTAGTGTGAAAACTTTAGATTTCATAACAAATTCAACAATTATCAAAATGAGTATTGTTAAATTTGATCATTTATTATTAATGATTATTTTTAAATTTGTTACGACACATTGCATTTTTTTTATCGTTCCTTTTTTCATCAGCTGCGTGGGTGTCTGACACATACTGAAGTCCATTACTATTCTTAAAAGAGTATGCAAATCAGACTGAGAGTTCCTTCTATTGTCTGTCTGTCTGTTTGTCTGTCAGTCAAGCTGCAATTCGTAAATTGTTGCATTTAACCAACAATCACAAAGACATTTTCTTTGGGGGGACAATTCTGCAAAATTCAGGGAAGTTGGTCATTAATTTCCTGTAACAAACATGCATCATCAAAGGCACTATATGTAACACTGAACAGAGTTTGTATCCCATTCTTTCATGTCCCCAAACATCAAAGGCACTGTATCAAATTCAAAGATGATGATGATTATTATATCTATTTCATTTATATTGGTCCTGCTATGCATCTTTGAGCATTCCTATTCATGATTCCAGGAGGGCACATCAGATGTGTCAATGAATGGCAAAACTATTTGCCTGACTACCGGAAGCAGTCTTCTCATTCCTCTGAAGAGCAAGTAAGTGCATGTGCTGAAGAATGATGTGTATCCTGTTATCATTAGGAGGTGAAACTACACTACTGCGTGAACTTTTTCTGCTCGTATCCCCTTTGTATCTACAAGGCTCTCTATTGTGACCAACGGGGAGGAGAAAGGTTCCTGCCATACAAGCTCTTTTCTAAAGGTGGCAATCTCCCCCACCCCCCACCCCCCACCGCCCTCCTCCCTGCCCCCGTCCCCCCCAACCTTGATGCTATGAGATGAGATGAGCACAAGTGAGGTTTGGATGAATGAAGTCCTTCAGCCTATTGATCCAGATTACCCAACCTACTGTCTCCCCAATACAGCATCAATAAGCTGCTTCTTGAATGAATCCACCAAGCTGCCCTTTCCTCATTCCAAACTTGTCAAGTTTCTGTCGTCTAGGTATTCAAAACCCTAAAAGGAATCATTAGGCTGAAAGTTCTTTGTGCTGAGTAGAAGAGAAGAAACACAAGATTTGATTATTGACTGATGAAATTGTCAGGTTAATGTAACTTAAAAGAATAGTTTTAGACTGAGAGCACAAAACTTACAGAAGGGCCTGTTTCCTATAGAGCAGAATGATTTACACTCGAGAGGGAAATTGGATAGATTCTGATTCAAAAGAGGAGAGTGAAATATGGCCATGGCACTGAGGTTTGAAGGTCAGGAATGTGAACCTAAACACAAAGAAAAATGAATAGGTTAAATAGCTATTTCTCATTCCTACCCCCTCACGTATGTAAAACAGGGCATTCATTCTGCCGTGTTATTAATTCTGCTAAAGATTGAATTACGATGATTTTCAACTGGATTCCTTAATAAGTCGCTCAAGTGGGGAGGTTCTATTAAGCATAAGTATTGGAAGCAGGATGCTTCTACTTTTGAAGCCAGGTTTCCAGCTTGGCATACCATAAGGTTGGGAGGAAACACTTTTGCTGACATCAAGGTACCAATTACACTGCCATTTCCCTGATGAGCACTTTTGCAACCCTAAATAAGCCAGGGAGAGAGTGTGCATTCCGTTCCACGCATGGAAATTTCCACGTGTAGGTGGCATATGGAAAATCTCTGTCTGATTTGGTTACTCCTAAGTATGGTGATGGGTTTCCACATATATAGGCACCTGGCTGGGCTTCTTTTTTGAGAAGTTTTATTAAAAAAAACAGCACATTAGACTCAGGTGTGGCAATAAAATAATTAGCTCTGAGCATTAGCAGGTAAATAAAAACTGTATTTGTTGACTTTAAACCAACTATTGTATCTCTTTCCCGATAAAGGTACCTTTGGAAAAGAGCTGAAGGATGCATTGCACTTTACATTGTACAGGATCCAGCACGAAAGACGATGACAATTAACAGTTCTCAAAAGACGGTTGATAAAGGCCTTGGTGGGAGAGTGTAACTAGCCCATGACATCAGAAAACTACTTAGGGACACAAAGTGCATTTCTCATAAGGATGCCCATGTACATTATACAGAACCAGAAAATGCAGAGCAGATAAGTCATCTAGATGCGCATATGTGCAGAATAATCTGGGATGGGGGTTCATGCATCCTAAACTGTGCAATGTAATGAGGTTACACTGCATTAACTTGTCTGTACAAATTAAATAAATCTGATTCAATAAACTTTTCTACAGTCTGTGGTTGATGATTCATGTTTTGTCTCCTCATATTAAGAGCAATATATTGGATAGTATTATCCTGCCCACATTTGTACTATTGTTTGTACCTACAGGAATTGTACACCATAGAGGCTCATGGGGAAGCTTTTTTTTGGGGTGGGGGTGGCACCTAAAGGATACAAGGCAGCTACAAAATGTATTGATCAGACTATGTTGGACACAGATTGGTGAAACTTACATTCAACATATTACTTTCAGTCACTACAGCAGTTACTTGGAGTTCTTTATGTGAGAAGGTTGGTTGATATGAGATAATTATTCAATATGGTGTAAGTTACAAAGACCATCAAGTTAAGAAATAAATTAGGAAGGAGAGGAAAGGTCAGGCAGAACAGATTTACAGAGTAATAAACTCATGCATTAATTAACCAGTTAAAGCCGTTGAGGCATATAGTGGTGACAGTTTTAAGGGTCAAATTGATGTGTGTTTCGAAACAGAAGAGATTGAGCAATGTAGTGGGAAGGCAGGAAGGGAATAAATTTCCACCAGGGTCTATTCTATTTCCACCATGGTTTATTCTATTATTTCAGCATCACAGAAGGTCCAGAATGTGGCAAATGGTTCAATTAATCTTCACATTGAAATCAGTTTTTCTATTATTCTTAAAAGAACTTAGACCCTGTGTCAACCCAGTTCCTATCTAGACATCTGAAAACAAAAACAAAGTCACTGGGAACACTCAGCAGGTCAGGCAGCATCTATGGAGAAAGGAAAGTGTTTTGGATCCATGACCCTTTGTCAGAACTGGGGCATGTTGGGAGGGAGAGGCATTTAAGGCCTAACAGAGAGAGGTGAGGCAGGGCAAGGAAGCCAAAGGAGAAAATGGGGTAGAGGATAGAGGATGACGGGTTAAAGAGATGTTAATGATGCAAAACAAAGGGGGGATTGCAACAAAGCGGGGAAAAAGAGATGTTGATAATGCAGAACAACGGGGGGAAAGATTGCAACAAAATAGGCAGACCAGAGAGAGAAAAGATAAAAGGGACCAAGATGATGTGGTAATGTGATGAGGGGGAGGGGGAATGTGAGCTGTTATGGTCTGAAATTGTTGAAATCAATATTGAGGCCAGAGGGCTGTAAGGTCCCTAGCAGATAAATAAGGTGCTGTTCCTCGAGCTTGTGCTGTGGCTCATTGGAATAGAATAGGAGACAGTGGATGAAGAAGTCAGAGTGTGAATGGGAGGGAGAGTTGAAGTGGCAAGAAACCAGAAGCTCAGTGTTGTGCTTGTGACAGAACGGAGGTGTTTGGCAAATTGGTCACCCAATCTGCGTTTCGTTTCCCCAATGTAGAGGAGACCACAGTGTAAGCAGCGAATGCAGTAAACTACATTAGTTCATGTACAACAACAACAACAAGATTCCATTTTTAGAGCGCCTTTCACGTCGGGAGGACGTCCCAAGTTGCTGTACAGTTTGGTCAGGATCCGAGCAGGGGGGAAATGGTGAGGGGAGGGAAGGGAGGGAGCGAGGAGGGCGTAGAGAGTCAAGAGGGTAGCTGAAGGCACGGTCAAAGAGAAAGGTCGTGAGACCGGCCTTGAAGTAGGAAAGGGAGGAGGCAAGGCGAAGGCACTGGGGGATAGAGTTCCAGAGCCTCGGGGCTGAGAGGCTGAAGACCCGGCCACCGATGGTAGGGCAGTTGGGGCGGGGGATGTGGAGCAGACCGGAGCCAGAGGAACGGAGGGTACGGGCAGGTAGGTAGGGGGATAGTAGGTTGGAGAGGTAGGAGGGAGCGAGGCCGTGAATGGCCTTGTAGGTGAGGATGAGGATCTTGAATTCGATCCTCTGGGGGATGGGGAGCCAGTGGAGGCGAGCGAGGGTGGGAGTGATGTGGTCGCGAAGCCTGGTGCGGGACAGTACACGAGCTGCAGAGTTCTGAATGACCTGCAGCTTGTGGAGGGAGGTGCCGGGAAGGCCGGCGAGGAGAGAGTTCCCATAGTCCAGCCTTGAGGTGATAAAGGCGTGGACCAGAGTTTCAGCAGCGTGAGGGGTGAGGTAGTGCCGTAGTCTGGCGATGTTCCGGAGGTGATGGAAGGCGGTGCCAGTTGTGGTGCGGATGTGAGGGAGAAAGGACAGCTCAGGGTCGAACAGAACCCCAAGGTTCCTGACTGGCTTTGAGAGGTGGAGAGTGCAGCCTTGGATGCTGATGCTGTCAGCGCCTGAGGTGCGGAGGCGCTGACGTGAGCCAATCAGGAGGGCCTCAGTTTTTCGCACGTTGAGCTGAAGAAAGTTGTCTCTCGTCCAGGACTCGATGTCGGACAGGCAGCTGTCAGGACATCGGTGGTCGTGGAGTTGAGGGTAGAGGAGGAAAGGTAGAGTTGGGTGTCATCCGCATACATGTGGAAGTTAACCCCATGTCTGCGGATGATGTCACCAAGGGGGAGCATATAGAGGGTGAAGAGGAGGGGACCGAGGACAGAGCCCTGAAGGACACCGCACGAGACAGTGCGAGGGGTGGAGGAAAAGCCATTTGTGGCTACAAAATGAAGACGGTGGGAGAGGTAAGACCTAAACCACTCAAGGATAGGGCCTTGAAGGTTGAGGTGGGAGGACAAGCGGTGGAGGAGGATAGCGTGGTCGACCGTATCGAATGCAGCCGATAGGTCGAGGAGGACGAGGAGGCAGAGGGAGCCCTGGTCGCAGATGGTCAGGATGTCATTGGTGACCTTGACCAGGGCAGTTTCTGTGCTATGGGCAGCACGGAAACCCGACTGAAGGGGTTCGAATAATGAATGGGCGGAGAGAAAAGAGCGCAGCTGGGAGGAGACAATTCTTTCAAGTACCTTGGACAGGAAGGGGAGGTTGGAGATGGGCCGGTAGCTTGATAGCTGCGACGCATCAAGGGAGGGTTTTTTCAAGGTGGGAGTGATGGTGGCAGTTTTTAGGGGAATGGGAACAGAGCCAGAGGAGAGGGACAGGTTGATGATGTCTGTGATATGTGGGGCAAGGAGGTGGAGCTGAGAGATAAGGAGTGGAGTGGGGATGGGGTCAAGGGAGCAGGTGGTGGGTTTCAGGGATAGGTAGAAAGCAGAAGCCTGGGGTTATTCTTCGCCTCCAGGATTACCCTGGAGTAGAAGGACTACTTGGCTGAGGCTAAAGTGGAGCGGTAGATTTTGAGGAGGTCCAGCCAGATTTGTCGGTGGACCGTTAGGCCAGATTTGAGGCAGGTGCGTTCAGCGGCCCACACCTGGCTCTTCAGTGAGCGGAGGTGGGTGGTGAACCAGGGAGAGGAGCGAGAGTAGGAGACAGTACGGGAGGTGATGGGGGCAAGAGTGTCGAGTGTGGAGGAGAGGGTGTTGTAGAGGAGAGTGAGAGGAGAAGAGGGGTCAGTGAGGGTTGAAGGCCAGAGGGAGAGGAGTTCAGAGGACTCCAAGGCAGCGGTTAGGGATTGTGGGGGTAACTTCTTCCAGGGGCGGTAGAAGATGGTGGTGGGTCTGGTGGAGGTGGGGAGGGGGGTGGAGGTGGTGAAGGAGATGAAGTGGTGATCGGAGACGGCCTTGTCGGTAATGGTGACATCCGAGACACTGAGGCCCCGGGTGATCACCAAGTCGAGTGGGTGGCCGTGACTGTGAGTGGGGGAGTTGATGTGGAGGGAGAGGTTGAGCGAGGAGAGCAGGGAGGAGAAGTCCGAGGAGATGGAGCAGGAGGGGGTGAAGTGCAGGTTGAAGTCGCCCAGGATGATGAGGCGATCAGAGCAGAGGCAGAGAGATGTAAGAGGTGTCGAAATATCGGAGATGAAGGTGGGAGAGGTTTTAGGGGGCCGGTAGAGCAGGAGGATTTTGAGTGAGAGGAAGGAGAGGTGGGAGAGGGTGAGGTGCTCGAAAGAGGGGAAAGAGCCAGAGGAGTAGGGGGATAGGGCAAGTGGTGTCCTTGAGATAAGGGCTACACCACCGCCACGGCGGTTGGGGCGAGGGATGTGGTGGGAGGTGTAGCCGGGTGGTGTGGCCTCCGTGAGGGGGAAGGTGTCGCCTGGGGTGAGCCAGGTTTCCGTTAAGGCCATGATATCAACGCTCTCATCAAGGATGAGATCGTTGATGACCAGGGCCTTGTTACAGAGGGAGCGGACGTTTTGTAGTCCGATGTGGAGGGAGCGGTTGACAGAAGGGTGTGTGGGAGGGGAGGGGGGTCCCGGTTGTGGAGCAGGGGTGGGGGGAATGGGGATGAGGGAGGAGAGGTTGGCTCCCCGGGTCTGTGTCCGGGGTGGCTGGCGAGTGTAGTGGGGAATGGGGCAGTCGGTGTGGCTGCTGCTGGACAGCCAACGCCGAGTGCCACGGTGAGCCCGGCGGAGGATTCCCAGACTGGAACAGAGGGAGGTTGTGGGAGGGTTAAGTGGGGATAGAAGGCGAGAGGGACGGAGAGAGAGGAGGACAGAGCGTGAGAGATGTTGAGGGTGAAGGGTTTGGGGGCAGAGAGGAGGGGGGACGGATGGAGGGAGGGGGTGAGGGTCAAAGCGGCCGCCATAGTGCACACGCGGGGACCGGGAGCGAGCGGTTAGGTGGATGGCATTATCCCATAGGCTGGGGCTGGGGCAGCCAACCCAACAGGACCATGGTGGGCCCTGATGTGAGCCCCGGGGGGGCACAGAGGTTTTTTTTTGTTGCACGCGCACACTCCTGAAAACTAAAGTATGACGTCAGCGGTTCCCCGCTCCGCCCCCACCCCTTCCCTCCTCAGACCCCCAGCTGCACTCCCTGCCGCCACGAGCTTAAATACCTGAGTAGATAGGCCCAGGCTCCTCCCCGCGCTGTCCTGCCGCCGCTCCCCGTGTCTCACTTGAAATCTGTGTTTGGGGCTCTGGACAGTGGTATGGGAGGAAGTGAAAGGGCAGGTATTGCATCTGGAGGGTCTTTGAAGGGTCGTGGAATCGGTACGTTGACTCCTTTCCTTTCTCCATAGATGCTGCCTGACCTGCTGAGTGTTCCCAGCAACTTCTGTTTTTGTTTTCAGATTTCCAGCATCTGCAGTATTTTGTGTTTTGTCCTATTTAGACATAATTGAAAGCACATTGCCCCAGTGATTGACAGGCCATGCAAAGAAAGGTGCCATCTAGGAAGTTGTGTTGATATCTTGATTTATATTATAATTTATTTCTGATTCAAAACTGTTTGTGGATAGAAATATATTACAGAATCTTTCCTCCTGAAATGAAGAGAACGGAATGGAATCCTTGATGGAACAGATTCCACACGGTCCTTTGCAGGAATAGGCTTGATGAGTTCAATAGCTCTTACTCATTCCATGTTTCCCATTTATCTCACTCAGACAGGCTGTGAGGATTGCTGTTGTGAGATGCTCTTTCCAAGTTGATGGTAAGGCAAGGCAGATTGTCACGATAGAGTACAAGTTGCTTTACTCTCCACTGTCCAGTGGGGTGCCTAGTTTGGGATTGTTTGTGAACAGGGTATGGTTGCTTGAACAGGTTTGACTGTGTGTCATTATTTAACTATTTTCCCTTTGCAAAATAAACCAAGAAAGAGTCTTTTGAACATCCTCATAAATACCTTGTATGCTAAAGAATGAGGTGGACACAAAGTCCATTCCAGCAGGATTGCCCAAAAATGCCATGTGAAAATACAGATCTGGTTATTTAATTTCTTTTGTAGGAAATCACCTACAATTTCAAAAGATTTTCATTTTTCTCAAGTTAGAAATTGAAGTCATCCTTCATGTGATACTAGGACAAGTCACAGAACCTTCAGCTCAGAAGTGGTCAATTGGTCCATCGTGCCTCTACCATACTCGCTCCTGCCTGGAGCTATTTATCCTGATATTATTTCCTTGCTGTTTCTTATGTACACCTTTATATCTTCATTCTTTGATTCTTCATAAAATTCACTTTTTTAAATGTCATACAGTAAACTCCTGATAACTAACTTGTCACTATCACTTCTTAAGTCATCATACTGTCAATATCCCAGTCACATTTATTTATTTATTTATTTATACATGTCCCCAACTTGCCACTCCAGATAACTTATCACTAAGTGCTTTTCCTTTGGCATGATGAGATATCAGGAGTTTCCCGTACTTGTTGTGGCTTCCATAGACACTCGGAGTGAATGGGTTTCACATTATTATCATCCTTTGTGAAAAATATTTTTTTCCAACCACTGCCATCAGGCTTCCTGTTGGCAACAAATTTGAGCTTATGCCACTTTGTTGCTTATTTATCAACAGGGAAAATAACAATAATAATAATCCTTGCATTTGATATAGCGTTTTTCACGTCTTCTGGACTTTTCAAAGCACCTCACAGAATATACTATAAAGTGAATTGGCTGAATATTTGTGGGGGGCAGCCAATTGTGCATAGCAGTGTCCCACTGACAGCCGTGGATTGACGTGACCAATTTATTAATAGTTGAGGGATTATTATCAGGCATGTGGAGTAAGGAAACTTGCCCAAGGTTTTTTTTTCTTGAGGGATTATTATCAGGCATGTGGAGTAAGGAAACTTGCCCAAGGTTTTGACCTGCCGGGAAGCGAACCCAGGTCTCGCACTTGCGAGGGGAGCACTCTAACCACTGAGCTACAGGATTCCACTGAGACTTTCAGACCCTTGCAGAACTTTGAACCCCTTTAACATTAAAACAAATTCCTTTCAATTCAACTTTCACTGCATTTTTACAAAATGTATAAGTGGAAATTTTTCACAATCGACGAGCTGTTGGGTTTCATTGGTTTTGAAAATCTCCCCTGACCATTAGTTCACAGGAACATACAACATACATGTTCTGGCTCAATATATTTCACACCACTTTTAGAGTGCTGCTCAGGGTCGCCTAGAGACTCTGGGCACCAGTCAATGCTTTAGAACTTTAAATTTGTGTGTTAATTCGCGCCACGTAAATAAAATTCATTTCATGTTGGTCTTGATGTGGTATTAGTCATATATTATGAAATGTTACAAAATTACAAAAAACTCAGAGGTGCTAATTAACACACCGTGCAACATTATAATATTCATCCCACAGTCAATCATAAATAAAACTACTGTTTCAAAGCGAAAGGAGTGATTCTTGTTCCTAGAGAACGCAATTTATGCCATGAGAGGCTCTCAGCGTTCAAAGAGTAAGCAAAAAAAACCACAATGAACTAACTAATCCATTGAATTCTGTCCTTGGTAGGCAACAGGGGGTGAGATAAATGGGGTCTGCTTGGAGCTGAACTGGGTCCAAGGTGATGTGATTGGCAATGATTGCTGGAATCAAGTCAACCCTATGTGGGGGTCTGGATATTCTGAGCCAGATAGGTCCATGGGACATAAGCACAGTGCTGATGACAATCCAGCCAGCCTGGCCCATTGGGAGGTTTTGGAGGAACAGACCAATCATTGGGGGCAGGGATTCTCCCACTCGGTTCTTGTTAACCTTGCAAGCCAAACCCTAATGGGTGGTCCGAGCTGGACAAGCTGCAGCAATTTTGCTAGACAGTGCCTTCAATGGCAAACTATATGGTTTTAGCTGCTTGACCTCCAGTAGTAGCCCAATGCACACTCTGTCACACTCAGTCCCCAAGCCTTGGTTCTTGCCAACTTGCACCCAAAGACTCTCAGGAATTAGGAAGCAGGCAGTACCCCTGCAGGGAGAGATTGTCCATTCTGTTCCAGATACAGGGAAATTGCCATTTGTAGGCAGCATTCACATGTGGAATTTTCTGTCTGGGTTGGATACTGTCAAACACCCAGGTGAGCAAAAATTTAAATAAAATATTGAAAATAAATAATAATTATGATTACATTTGGTGCAGCACTTTTCATGTCAGGTTGACTTCTCAAAGTGCTTTATAGGATGAATATATTATACTGTGACTGTGTATTTTGTGTGTGAATGCAGCAGCCAATTTGCACACAGCAATGACGTTCATGACCAATTTTATTTGGGGGTTAATGGCCAAAGGAAGAAACACCCTTGAGATTTTAATGTCCACCTGAACTGGCAGACAGAACCTTGGTTTAACGTCTCATCCGAAGGATGGAATTTCTGACAATGCAGCACACCCTCAATGTACTGAATTGGGAATCATAATGGGGCTTGAACCCACCCGCTTTCTGAGTCAAAGGCAAAAGTGTTACCAACTGAGCCAGGTTGACACACAAATAAGAAAAGATCGATTGTTTTGTTTTGGTGATTGATATGAGATAACACTCCCATCCCTTCTTCCACCTCTCTCCCCGTCCCCATCCTTATCCAGTATAGCATAACTTTTGAAATCCAAAGAGAATGACCCTTAATCTCTTTTTAAATCAATTTACAAAAGTAATATATATTTTAAATATTACAACATAATAAGAAGAATTACATTTGATGTAGTGCCCTATCACGTAGAACACTGATGTAAAAACCATAGCTAACTCCTAAACACAGCAAGTGAGTTACACATCTTACTGGACTTTTTTGTGCTTAGTATTCTTGGTGCACATTGTGCGGTTTGTACCAGGATCTCCCGATCCATCGAGGCGCAACCGTAAAGTGTTTTTAATGACCATCTGCTCTGCAATTGCTGAGGCAAGGAACCATGGCAACGCATACTCCAGTGTGACTAGCCCCATGAAGTTCCAGCGGAAGGCAGAATAATCCCACGGGCAGGCATTAAACTGTCGGAGGGTAAAACCAGTCATAAACTCCCAAATGTACGTCCAGAGTGTATAAATGAGACACCTGGTTAGGATGTTGCACCTTCTCCAAAGGTAAAGGTACATTTTCTCAATTATGAGGATTCCTGTGCCATAAATAAACAAAGACCACACACTGGTGATCCCAGGAAATTTCCAGTTTGCACTTTCAACGAACGCCCATGCAGCTGTGAACATCACCTCACAGAAATAACCGTGAATAGCGTACAGGTACCATCTGAAAAATGTGGTCAGGGTCTCCATTGTCCTCGAAGGGTCACTGCAATCTTGCTCGGAGTCTACAATTCCTTTATGTACCAAACTGCAAAAGAATATGTATTTTTAATAGGTGGATTGATGCTGATTCCATTTCTTCTTTCAAAAAGACATGCACAATATCCAGAAATTCTGCATGAAAATCTGTCTTTTTTTTGTCACTCTGATCAGTGTTTCTTTTGAAGTGAATCAAAGTGGCAGGTAATCAAATGAAGTGATCCAGTCTCACCTTTATCAAAGGTAATCAATCTCTTTCTGCCCTGTTTTAAATCAAAGAATTAAATTGCTAATCTTAAATGGTAATGTAACTCTAGAATTCATAATCACTAACCATCAGTGTGTGACTCATTAACTTACTAAGATGATAAGTCTTGTTGTTGGCCTAGTATCCTGGATATAGTGAGAATGATCTTTGTGTGTGTGTGTGTGCGTGTTTTCCATTTATACTGTTTGTAGTAGTAAATCAATGAAGCATGCTAACAGGGGGCAGAGAATTACATATAGACACTGTTTTGCCAATACATTATACTCTACTTCTGTTAGTCGCAGAAGGGCTATCATGTGGTTTGCATTCCGTATGGTTCCTGATATTGGCCAAGTCACTGGGTAGGGTAGGAGGCATTCATTCCCCCACAGGTTTCTGGAAAGTGAGGGGAAGCAATTCCCTACAGGTTCATGAATATATCAGAAGGAAGAGTATCCTGGTCCCCTCTCACACCCTGCCAGTTGCATAACAGCATAGATGATATTGTGATAATACCTGATGATAATATATAATAATTTGCAAATGGAGTCTTAATGGCAGGTCTTGCCAGTAACTGGAAGAGTATCACATTGATCTCAGGAATCTCTTCTCTGACATCACCTACTTTTGGGCCAGGGTTCCTGTGGGTCAGCAAATGATTACCAGTGGGCATCATTCTTTATATATATATATATATATATTTTTATATTTTATATTTTTTGCGCAGTTAACACCACTAATTGCAATTTCCTGCTCTTTCCCAATTTCCATTTATATTGTCCCTCTTCAAATGTCTATTCAATTACCTTTCAAATGTTATGGTCTCAGCTTCAGTAGCCACTTGCAGCAAAAAAACTTCATGTTCTAATAACCGAATGTTAAATGGTAAACCTCTACTGGAAATTCTTACAAAAGTAGGAAATGATTACACCACCAGCTCAAATAATTAAATTTATGCCCCTCTGAGATGTCTCCTTTGAATGCTGAAGAGCCCAAGATTATCTCACAAGAGCTGTTTGGATGATTGGGGCCCTTTGGCTCATTTCATCCTCCCTTCCAGAAATCCAACCTTACTCCTATCACAGCATCAAATTGTCTCTTAAACAAGTCATAAATTACTCTCCGAGTAAAGACATACTTTCTGGTGTTCGTCCTGAAATTTGCTTTTGATACCCTGAATCTGTGTCCTATTGTTCTGCGGTCTACCTGAAAATATTTCAGGTTTACCTTCTCAATACCATTTAAAATCAGATATACTTCTATAAGGTCCCCTCCGAGGTATCTCTTTTCAAAGCTGAAGAGCCCTAACTTGCCTAATCATTGTTTATAACTAATTTCTCTAACACTAGAGATCTTTACTCTTCTCTGAACTGCTCAAGGGCCTGAGCAACCCGAATGGCCTACTCCTGCTCCTACATGTTATGTCATGTTATGTTATGTTGTGGTGACCAAAACTGTACACAGTACATGACCAGTGCTCTGTACAATTGATTATGACTTGTGTAAAATTTAACTCAACTGATTTGGCTATAAAGTTGGGAATGGAGTTTCTCCCGGTGTCCTGGCCAACAATCCAAATTAGCTTCTGCTTTAAGCCTTCAAGTGCACATTCACTATACTTTACACTACAGTAAGTGCTGCAAATTACTTTGAGACATTTTGTTGACGTGGTAAAGTGCTATATCAAATGCATGGATCAAAATTCTTCCTATTACTATTGTCTCATCAAAGGCTTGGTTTTGTGCTGACAGTTACACAGAAGCACGAACAACACTAGTATTAAAATGATTGAGTTCAGAAGTTGAGACAGCTGAATTAATATGTACTTGAAAGTCAAATCACTCTGGGTTAATTATAATATCTCTGCTAATCTTAATTCATCCTCTCACTCTACGTAATATTAGTAATTTGTTGCAGCTGGCATTTACAAGGGGTGCTGACGATAGTACTCCTTTATTCTAAAAATAAGATTGGAACTAATTTATCTTGTAGCACACTTGATATCACTCCACTAGCTCCCTTATAAGCACTAACACCGTAATTACAATATTAGACGCTCATATAATTTGCTTATTAACATTTAATAAATTAATTTCTGGCTTGCAAACTGGAAATTCTCAGCCTTTTTAAAGGCAATGCAAAATGGCTGTAGGGCAGAGTAATTATAGAAGCACCCTGAAAGTTTTAGCTTGAAGGTCAAATTAGGCATTTTTCTACAAAATACAAAATTTAAAATGGCGCAGAATTGTGGAAAAAACTTGTAAAGTTCAGTCTAAATCCTGTTTTCTTTTAAGGACTATGGAAACAATAAAATAATTTATTATAATAATCATCATTATAACAATAGCATTTGACTTTGTGCCTGTTTATTGAAATGTTGTGAAAGCATTTTACCAGTAATTTCTGGCAAGTGTAGTGACTGTGTATTTTGTAGGGACTTGTCAACCAATATGAGCAGAGCAATATTAATATGATAATAATCTTTGTGTTTGATATAGCGCTTTATCACATCATTGAAACGTTTCAAAGCGCTTCAAAGAATATATTATAAATGGTATTCACTTTAAAGTATAAGACTACGTATTTTGTGGGCAAAATGCAGCAGCCAATTATGTACAACAGTGTCCCACAAACATTCGTGGAGCTTTATTTGCAGGATTGTTGGCCATGACATCGGGTGAAATGTCCTTTTCTATTCAATTAGTACCATGGTAACTTTAACTTCTACTGAACAAGTAGATACTTACATAAGAACACAAGAAATGCTAGACAAAAAAAGACCAAGGTCCATCTAGTTCTCCTTCCACCTTCCTAATGGTTGCATGCACATATGTCCCAAACTACCTATGTACTATATCCTATAATGTTATTTGCTGAAAGAAAACTATCAAATCTGTGTTTAAAAGAATCAGCACTTCCTGCTTCAACCGTCTCCCCAGGAAGCCTATTCCACAGGTTCACTATTCGCTCACTGAAATAGTGTTTGAGTAGATTTATTCTGAATTAACCCCCATTCAATCGCAGGCCATATCCTCTAGTTTTACTATTCTGGATAAGTTGAAATAGCCTGTCATGATCTATATTGTTTTGCCACTTTAGAATCTTAAAGACAGCGATCATGTCACCTCTCAATCTTCTCTTTTCCAGCGTGAACATGCCCAATTTACTTAGTTGCTCCTCATAGTTCAGTCTTTCCATTTCCTCAATTGTTTTGGTTGCCCTTCTCTATCTTCACGATTTCTCCAATAACCTTTTTGGACCGCGGCACCCGAACTGTACACAGTACACTAAATATGGTCTCACCAATGATTTATAGAGTGGCAGGATTACCTCACTATTGGGTCAATGTCCCATTAAAGCACAGGGCCTCTCACAACGTTGCGCTCTTCAAGCATTGCGACTAAACTGCCAGCATGGACAGCTGAAAGGTCCATCAAGCAGCTTGAACTCACAACTATATGAAGGTAATATTCAGAAACCTCTCCCCTCCCACCACCTCCCCCCCCTCATAGGAAGTAACTTACACGTTCATTGCAACAATCTCAGCATAACACCTGACATTCTGATCTGCCTATCTTATCAAAATTATTCGTAAAATAGTATTTAATACCTTGCAAGCCAGGAATCCCTCACAAAATATGACTTCTAAATGTTCGATGATTGTGCCGAACCAGCCGTTCTAGAAAGGGGTAAAAGGCATATATTTCAACGTGAGAAACACAAACGAGACTTTGACTAATATTTTAACTGAATTAGCATATCAAACAGCATTGCTTTGAGAACACAATGGAGTTTTCAGCCTCTAGATGTGTCAACAAGAGCTAATATTTAAACAGCTAATCGATTGGAGGGATGACCAAAGCAGTTCCGTGGCTACCTATCACCTGCAACCCCTGTACCTGGTACAAGCTATTACAATCATTAAATAAGGTCATAAAACACAGTATCAAACAAATCCTTTAACTCCTTCAGAACTGGTCTTGAAAACTATCTCCTATATTGTCTTTCCAGGTATTTCTGAAAATGATTATTAGGTTTTCCAGAAGAAATGTAGAGGCATGAAACTTTATTAATTTGATGTTCTTTCATAATAGCTCTAGACATGGGAGTTACCTGGATTCTTTGAATTTATAAATTCTCTCCATTGATATTTTAAAAGCACTGTGTAAGTTTAACAACAACAAATTGCATTTTTATAGCGCCCCTTATTATAATTTGCCTATTATACTAATTGTTCAGAACATGGAAACACAGCAACAGATTCTCTCCTCCACCCCCCGCTGTAATCTTATTGAAAAATTCAATATTTCATACTGTTTAATGTGGTAATAGATTGATTGTCATAATTGTCATATCAAATCTATATTAAACATTGTAATATTGATTCAGACCTTAAAGGGTTAATCACGCAAATTAAATACCTATTTAGGGTCTCTGTTATAAATATTATAACAAAGTGAACATAATTCTCACTTTATATAAAAAAATCTGCCTTGTATTCGACATAGTGCATATAATTTCAAAACATTTCAAAGCACTTGACTGGAAATGCCTGTAACGTGTAGTGACTGTTTATTCACACAGCAGTTTTCCACAAATAACCATGAAGGGAATAACCTATTCATTTGGGAGATTGCTGGGCAGGACACTGAGGGAAAGTCCCTTCTCTTCTTGAAGAGTATTGTGGCATCTTAATAGGTTTAAAGCTTCATCTGCACTTCCTAAATTACTGATAAGTAGTGTCAGTCTAGACTGCAAGCCCAAAGTGCTGACCTGGCGTTTGAACCTGGATCAGAGGTAAGAATGCTACCAACTGGGCCAAGTGATACCTACTTATCTGTATTGGGTTGAAGGAGCAAGTGCATTGGGACTCTATTACAGGTCACTGCACACTTGAGGGGAAATCACTGCTAGTGTAGAAGCTGTGGACCATGAATGGGTAGAGGAGAGACGACTGATAAAAGCTTTGATATTTTGCTACTATTGCTAAAATAATAGTCACTCCTTCCATCAGGCCCGCTTCTCCTGTGCCAAAACTCACTTGGCAGCTTCCGAGGTAAAGTTCCCCTTAAAATGCTCTGTAGTTTGCAATTTTTAATAAACACTTTGTTTTTGTTCATTTTTGAAGATGTTCAGCTATTTTTTTCTCATTCACTTCCCTTTGTCAACTTTTAAGAATTGAGAATTTGTCCATCAATAAAGCAAGGTGAGCCAAACAACACTAAATCTTTCATGGTTTTAGGCATACAGCCATTGTCCGAAATGTATTATCATCCAAAGTTTTGCAAATTTCTTATATGTGACCTTAGTTTGAAAGCTATCGATCCCAGGTTTGTTTTAAGAACTGTAGTAAAGCAGCTTCCAAATTAAGTCCAAATGAAAGAATTCTCCACAACTTTACAGATTTCTAAATTTAAAGACAACAGCTTTAAGGTTAAGAAACACAAAATATAAATTGTTGGATGAAAGAACTCATTCATACCTTTTACAAATACAGCAGCAAGTGGCCACCTTCTCCTGTTTAACGCCTTTCTAGTGGTGTGTTCAGCCTTGTTGCTTGTGAACAGCTGGCACTGATGCAGGGTAAAGGTCATTACTCGGTAAGTCAGGTACAGTCACCAACGAAGCCTACTCACCACATTAATGAATGCTTGTGTTTTCCTGGTCTCCTTATTTGTACAGAAGGAAGTTACAGTCATAAAGAATGCAATCTGCAGAGAAAGTGGTCCACTGTTCGTATTAGATAATACAGGTAAACACACTGGACAAACAAACCAAAATGTCAAGGTACAGAACTCTGGATCACTGGAGAGTGAGTCATAGGGGTCAAGAGAAGAGGGGTTTCCTTGGTTCCTGAATTCCACTGTTTCCTGAACACTCTTGTGCACGTTGGTCAAGCTTTTCCAAAATAATACTTGTCAAAAACACAATTTAAGTAACATTTTTTGCCACCTGTGGCCACATGTGTCTGGCTACTGCAGAGAATTGGTGCATGATGCACATCATTTGTGTGGAAATTGCCACTAAGTTGTTGATGATATAATTGTTGTAGCGCTCAAAGACGCTACCTGGCGTGATGGGCGCTATATAAATGCAAGTTGTTGTTATAACCTTGCATTTGATGGGACACCTTATCACATCATTGAGATATCTCAAAATGCTATACAATTTAAAGTGGAGTTACTGTGTATATTGTAGGTGAACGTGGCAGCCAATTTACACACAGCAATGCCCCACAAACAGCTGTGATGTGAATGACCAATTTTATCTGTGGTCCAGGGCACCTGGAGAAAGCTCATTTTGAACAGTGGCTTGAGATCTTGAATGTCCCACCTGAACAGGCAGACGAGACCTCAGTTTCACATCTCTCCAAAGGACAGCACCTCTGACAGGTCTAGACTATGAGCTCAAAATCCAGATGTGGGGTTTGAAGCCACACAAACTTCTGACTCTCACACAAGAATGCTACCAACTGAGCCATCCTGACACCTTGTAAAGTAGTTCTAGCTGCAGCAAATTGGAATCATAAAGCATTGCAATAAACAGTGCTTTAATGGTATCATAAGATTTTTTTTAAGATACCATTAAAGGCATGCCATTTTTAAATTAATGTTGACATATGGTCCTGGCTTTTTTCTTGCTCTTTGGAACCTTCTGTAAATCATATATTCCAACTTGGACGATAGTCACAAACGGAAATCACAACAAACACATCAAACTCAGTTTGAAAAGGTTGGACATTAGAGCTCAATGTTGGGAGTAACAACAGGCTATAGAAATATTGAACACAATTATCTGGACTTAAGGCATAGGCTTCCCCTCACCACACCCTATCACGTAGTCACTGCACTTTACAGTACATCATGTGAAGCACTTTGGGACGCCGCTCTGACGTGAAAGGTGCTATACCAAATAAGGATTATTGTTATCAACATACAGTTTTGTCCAAGTCCTATGTCACAACTTAAACAACTTCACTTTGATGACAACAACTTGTATCTACGTAGCACTTTTCAGGTAAGATAAAATCTCAAAGTGCTTTACAGAGACACAGTGGATAATTCGAGCAAGATGAGAAATGGGAGGGGGGGATAGTGCGGGTAAGAGGGTTTCGACTGAAGACTTGAACGTAAAGGTCAGTTCAGGAAAAGTTAGGAGCTTTTCAAAGATTCTTAACTTCCAGCGGTCATTTTCAATTTGTTCTCTTGTGTTGTTTATTCCACGTTTTGTATTCTTGATACCTATCATTTTAAAATATACACACTGAGTAATATAAAAATAGTAAATGTCTGGCAGCAAGTCTGAACCAGTTACTCAAACCTTGGTATGTGTGAATGTTCATAAATCACTTGCATGATTTATGGTGTCATAAGAACCTCCTGATTATTAATACTCAACAGTGGCATACACATAGGTGGATTATATATGGCCTGTTGGATGTTAACATTGAAAAAGGTTGTGATTGCAGCTTGCTATATAAATAAAGTCAGAATCAAGACTTGATTTGCTTTAAGGATTATTTTCAATCAAATGAAATGTCTGAAAAATTGTTTTGGCCAGCTATCCTTCAGATGAAATGATTATTTTCCTCATGGTTATTTGTGGTGCAAATTGGATGACACTTTTGCCACTCCAAAAAGAGCCACTATATTTGACAGTGATTTGCCTGTAAAGCTTTTAGGGATATTTTAATAGGAAAAGTCCTATATATAACAGGCAGACGAGACCTCAGTTTCACATCTCATCTATATAAAAGTCCTATAAAAATGCAAGCTCTCACTTTCATCCCAGTGAACCTCCAATGCATAGTTTGTTGAAAAAACGTCTTTGAACAGAAATGAGCTAGGGAACAAATAAACTATCACATGACTGAAATTGATCAGGTAAGAGTTGAACCATTTCTATGCATAAGCCTGCTCTGATTGTTGTGTAGCTGTGTACTCTGTTGTACACCTTGGGGGTCTACACAACAACAACAACAAAATTACATTTATAGAGCGCCTTTCACGTCGGGAAGACGTGCCAAAGCGCTGAACATTCAGGTGTCGGGGCCCGAGCATGGGGGAGGGGTGGTGTAGGGGTGAGGGAAGGCAGAGAGGTGGGTGGGCGACCAAAGGCACGGTCGAAGAGAAGGGTCTTGAGACCGGCTTTGAAGGAGGAGTTCCCATAATCGAGCCTTGATGTGACGAATGCGTGGGTGAGGGTTTCGGCAGCCTGAAGGGTGAGGCAGTGGCGGAGTCTGACAATGTTTCGGAGGTGGTGGTAGGCAGTACTGGTCATGGCGCGGTTGTGGGGGAGAAAGGACAGTTTAGGGTCAAACAAGACACCAGGTTCCTAACTGGCTTAGTGAGGTTGAGTGTGCAGTCATGGAGGCTAATGCTGCCAGAGCCTAAGATGCGGAGGCGCTGGTGCGAGCCAATCAGGAAGGCCTCGCTCTTGCTGACGTTGAGTTGGAGAAAGTTGGCCCTTGTCCAGGACTTGATGTCGGAGAGGCAGTCGGTCAGGATGCCAGGACGTCGGTCGGTCAGTTCAGGGTGGACGCAGAGAGGTAGAGTTGGATGTCATCCGTATACATGTGGAAATTTACCCCATGTCTGCAGATGATGCCACCAAGGGGGAGCATGTAGAGGGTGAAGAGGAGGGGACCGAGAACAGAGCTCTGAGGAACACCACACGTGACGGTGCGGGGGCTGGAGGAGAAGCCCTTTGCTGCGACGAAGTGGAGGAGGTGTGTAAGGTAGGTCCTGAACCAGTCAAGGACAGAACTTTGAAGGTTGAGGTGGAAGGAGATGCGGTGGAGGAGGATTGAGTGGTCCACGGTGTCAAAGGCGGCAGAGAGGTCGAGGAGGATGAGAAGGCAGAGGGAGCCTTGGTCACATATGGTCAGGATGTCGTTTGTGACCTTGACCAAAGCAGTTTCCGTGCTGTGGGCAGCACAGAAACCCGATTGGAAGGGTTCATGGAGGGAGTGAGAGGAGAGGAAAGAGCGAAGCTGGGAGGCAACAGCTCTCTCAAGGACCTTGGATAGGAAGGGAAGATTTGAGATGGGCCAGTAGCTAGATAGCTGTGATGGGTCAAGGAAAGGTTTCTTCAAGGTGGGGGTGATAATGGCTGTCTTGAGGGGGGAAGGAAGAGTGCCAGATGAAAGGGAGAGGTTAATGATGTTGGCGAGTAGTGGGCTTCATGGAGGTTACAGTGGTGAAGACAGAGGAGGGGTTGACAGGTTCAAAGGTGTGGAAGGAGGGATGGGTATTTGTCAGATGGGTAGGTGTGTGGGGTGGGGGTAGGGGGGGATGGAAGTTGGGAGGGCAGTGGCAGCTGAGCGGATTCCCTCGATTTTGGACTCGAGTAAGTCCAGCATTTTCTCGCAGTGAGAATCAGAGGAAAGAATCTGCGAGGCATGGCGGGGAGAGCGGAGGAGACGGTTGGTGGTGGAGAACAGGAGCCTGGGGTTGCCCTTCACCTCCAGGATTAACTGGAATAGAAGGATGATTTGGCCGAGGCGAGAGCGGAGTGGTAGGTCTTGATGAGGTCCAGCCAGATGTGGCGGTGGACCGTTAGGCCGAATTTGAGCCAAGTGCATTCGGCAGCCCACACGTGGCCCTTAAGCGAGCGGAGGTGGTTGGTGAACCAGGGTGAGGATCGGGAATAGGAGGCAGTTCGGGAGGTGAGGGGGGCAAGGGCATCGAGTGTGGTGGAGAGGGTGCTGTGGAGAAGAGTGAACGCAGTAGTACACAGTCACTAGTCACTATACTTCACCCTGAGAAGTACTTTGATTTACATTGTCTTCCCAATGTGAAAAACACTGTATCAAATGCAAGAATTATATTATCATTTTACCCTGATAGTTAAATATAGTAAACGTTTTCCTGCATTTGTATAAAGGGGCTTCTCATTAGTTTTCCTTTATAAATACAAAGCATTTTTTCTTTGATGCTATTCAGATTTTAGACATTCTGATGCCAATTCCTAGTGGGGAAGGGTGCTTATTACAAAAAGTGATCAATTTTGTGATCTGTCATATAGGGGCCAGAGTATAGCTGAGTATCAGAAGTGGGAACATCCCTTTTGGTACTTTAATGTTGTACTGAAATTTTGATTAAGGCACACTACTGGGACAGAATACAGAGAGCTTTATTTTGCTTCTAGCACTGCTATAATTTGCCTGGAATTGCTCAATTGTGCTTAACGAGAAAAAGCCTTCCATTCCCTGTGACCAACATCCATCATCCTTGATTAGCACAAAGAAAAATCATATTTAAAAACAAACTACCAAAAAAGCTTAAGAGATACTTACTGCTTAATGAAGTCAAAGGAAGGGTCGCAGCATGGTGTGAAGGAACAGGAACAATAATGAAATCATAATATAAATGATTTCATGTAATGCTGAAACATCTTAACTGCTTCGCAGGACATTGCTACAGAAAAACGCAGCATCTAATTTGTGCAATAGGTCTCACAACCAGCCATGAAGTGAGTGATTAATTGATTTTGGGGGTTATTCTCCAATTTGATCCCTGGCTTTGTGCTGAGTTAACTGATCTCAGCCAAACCAACATGATG